ATGGACAGTTTCCATTGCAAGTTGCAGATTATTTGAGGCTGGTTTTAGATTGGCATGTGTTTTGAGCAAAAGCAGGGCTTTGCACTTTACCAAAGTTTGGCACTGTCCCCCACAGGATGGTAAGGACTCTTATTCTAAATTTTGGCATTTTTTCAATGTTGAAGACAGGTTCAGATCTAAGTATGAATTTTTTTTTTTTCCTTTCTGGCAGATGTATTAAGCCTATCCTTTGAGCAGAGCTGTAGCACTAAGCCTTGTTTTGTTTCAGTATGGTAATACCAAAGGGCAGAGGTGGCAGTACATGGTTACCAGTCATGTCAGCTTGGCTGTTTTGCAAGGGAAATTTCTTTCTCTCTGCATAATAACTTTTTGCAGGCATGAAGGACTAAGGGAATGTGTTGTTCCCTACCACTACCTTCATTCCCCACATACAGTTTGTGGTACCCATCTGCCTGCAGCTTTAATATCACGCTCATTAAAGAAGTCCCAGATCAATGGCATGAAGAGTAGTGGGGTGGGCTGCCCTGAGCTTCTGGAGCTATAATAATGTGCAGGCCAACAATGGGCCCAGTGTTCTTTCAGCTGATGATTAAATACTTGGCTCATAAATACCAATATTATGTAATTCTGAAGTCAAGTCAGCAAATCATGACCATATGGAAGACTCTCTGTTTGGGAAGATTTGAGTCTTCCAAAGTCAGTCTGAGGAACAAAATAGGCTTCTCATCAAGAGCTGGTGAGAGCAGAGGTAGTGGCTTAAATCCTCTATCTCTCCTTTTGCCCATCACCTTCCAGCTTGAGATTAAAAGCATGATCCAAAGGCCTGGGGTTTATGTGAGTAGGCCCAGGACTGTTGTGTTTGCTTGAGCCCTGACAGTCAGCTCTGCTGCCTCTGGAGCTCATTTCCTCATTGGTGTGATGGGCAATGATTGCAGATGGGAACCAGCAGGATGTTCTCTTACTGAGAGGCCTAATTTTAACAGGTGCTCAGTACATCCGGTCATCCACATCTTAGTTGATTGTGAGGGCTTTTGAGCACACATAGTGTGCTTCTGACACTCCATGTCCCTGCCTCATCAGGGTGTGAAACCACGCCAAGGCTTTAGCATTTAGAGGGAACCTGGACCTCTAAATACTCTAAAGGAAGCCTGACAAATGTTATATTCCTGCCTGAGATGGCAGGAGGTTTAGTTAGTGCTAAGAGCTCTCAAGAGTTAGAGTTGTAATTATGGGTACTAAAGGCTTTTCACTTTCTGGGTAAATTGAAACCTGGTCCCCATTGACCCAGCACCTACTGTTGCTGGTGAATGTAGGGAGTATCTTGCTCCTTGCCAGTATTGTTCCTTCCAAAGAGTCTGCTGGTATATGGCAATCTGGGAAGAATACTCTTCTCTTGGTGCTGGATATCTCCATATGTTCTGCAAGACTGTAGCAGTTTGTGATCTGCTCCATTTCATTTGCAGGCAGTTTTCTTGCTGCATCTTTGCTAAGAGCTGATGAATTTGCATACCCAGTAGATCCTACCTATATCTTGGGACAGGATTCCGGCCACCTATGAAGTTGACTTCAAAGCTTGTTTCTATCTCTGAACACTTTGATCCCATGACCTCATATCTGAATTAGCCATAAATGATTTCTCAGTCATTTGCTTTGGTTTATATTGACAAATGCTAGAAACTCTTAATCCATTTGCAAGTTTATCTGTGCCTATCTCTCAATATCTGGGGAGGGCTACCAAAAATCAACTAGGAGGAAGAGGCTGTGCTTGCTACTTACAAGTGCAGTTGATGTGATACATCCATACCTGTTTTTCAGAGAGGCTACCAATGGGTAGTGCTTCATAGTGTATAGAAATAACCCTGTTGTGTGTTGAGGCATACAAGGTCTTTCTCCAGCAGTCACGTGCTCCTCAGGGAGCTATCATCATTTTGCCCAAGGGCTTCCCTTGCTCTTGTAATATCAATGTTTACTGCTTTCCTATCATTACCAGTTTAAGTAACTCTTGGCATTTTATTATCCACATGTGGCCAGAATATAGAACCAATATGGAACACCTTGTAAAAATAATGGGGTGTGAGAACAGGTAGTTGAGAGAACAAAGCTACAACTGTCTTTTATCATTTCTTGGAGGAAATCGCATTGTTGTGAGCTTCCATTTTAGCTTCTATGTGGGGTGTGGAAGGTCCCATGTTTTATTTTCCTCTCTTGGGGGAGGAAGGCAGAGCTTTCTGCTGACAGAAGGGCTTGAAAGCAGTGCAGCCTGGATTCTTCTAACTGTAGGCTATGGCCTTGGGCAAGTCACATAGTGTTGTGAGGTCTAGCTTCCCACTGCTCCAGGAGGCTTTGTTCATCTGAGGTGTGATTTCCACAGTGATCCTGCAATATCTTGCTCTTAACAAAACTAAGACAATCTTTCCCTTCTGTTTCATTTTTAGTATGTTGAAGAACACCTTCAGAAACATCATGCTGATGAACTTGCACTGCCCTGGCTGCTTTTGAGCTCTTTGGGCAGCATTAGCAGTAATGCAGAGCAGGACACTGGACTGACAGGCTGTGCTAAATTCAGGTGATTAAACTCAGCAAGACCCTTTTTGCTGTGCTCAGCAATAACAGATGGGTTCAGTGGTGCCTGCGGTAGGATTCTCTGCTGAAAAAATGCAAGGAAGTTTCTGTTACGAGCCTAGCCCAGACATGAGTGTTGGCAGCCTTTGGAGTTTCCTGCCCATCTCTCTCACCAGTCTCTGCAGCCATGAGGCGATCATCTGCTGAGGGTGGTCAGCACTTCTTGATGCTGAGCTGCAAAGATGATTTTCTTTGGTTGACTCTGGAAATGGTTATATTTTCCACTGCAGGGAAATGCACTGACCGTTTTGTGGTAGGCAGGAAAATCACACATATCACTGTAATTAGAATAAGCGTCTCAGCAGCTTCAGACAACTGTCTGGTATCTTCATCTGTAGCAGGCAAATTTACAGTTTCAGTTGGAATTCATTCTCGGCCACAAGAAGAGTGAAGCCAGAGAGAACAGAATGAACTCTGCAAGGGAGCATGCACAGTACGTCTGCGACAGAGTGCTCTGAACTAACCCAAGGGAAGCTTTCTTCTGTGGACATGGTGAGGCTATTACCTGGCTGCCTTTTGAAACAGAGGTGTGTCTGTCACCTACCAAAGCATCTCACAAATGCTAAGGAAAGATTTACACCTCCTGGATGTTTCTCTATCAAAATATTGTCTTTCAATATGAGTGGACTTTCTTAATGCAACAGAAGATCACCAAAAATTTTTTTTTCCTCCTGTTCCCTAGTTTTAGGTAAAAGCTTTTGGATGATAGACTTGAGAAGACTGGGAGAAAGATTTTTGTGGACTGATTTTTTTTTTCCCTTCTTTGCCTTTTCTGCTTCTTTGCCAGAAGTGTTATTTTACAAGCGTGTTATGAATGAGTGAAGGAAAGAGAGAGCAAAGGAGAAAGAGATTTTAGGGTAAACCTTTTTCTCACTAAAATAACACAAAAAGAGCAACAACGACATTTTTTTTCCCCAGTTTAAAAAAACTTGAAATAGAGCGATTGCCTGCCAGTGTCTCTCACATTGGTGAATTTCTGCGTTGGAGGGACAGGCTGCAAAGGGAGGGCTGGGAAGGGACGGGATCTGCTGGGAGAATGGGTCGCAGTGCCATGACCTCAGATGGCCCCTTTGCCTTCCTCTAGTGATTAACAGGAGGTGGCTCCCTGCAGTGATTACTGTGTTTTAAGCTGCTTGGTCCAGCTTGGAACAATTACCCGGCTGCTTGGGCACTGAGAGCACAAGCTCTGGGCATTCCTGTCTTTGGGATATTAGCCGAAACCAGTGTGATCCAAGACAACTGGAAGCCAACACTGTTGAACGTCGTCTCTTATTTGGTTCTGATGCTGGTACTTTCTGAGTTCAGTTAGCAGCTCTTTCAGAAGAAGGACCAGGCTGTCACATTCACTTTGCTGCCTTTTACTGTAAAAGGTCCCCCTACAGTGGTCTTTATGCGTAATCAGCCTTTTCAGCCTTCCTGCCAAAGATTCAGTCAGTACAGACAGTGACTCTAATGCAGCAGGTTTGTTTGACATCAGGGCTAATTAGCAATTATCCAAATCTTGGAGCAAGCTCTTTCAGACCTAATTTTTTTTCTTCCCCCCCCCCCCGCCCCAAGCAGGCTAGGCATAAAATTCCATCTGCCTAATTTGCAAATGCAAATGCTTTAATTATGCATCCAAATTGGGAAAGTGTATGCTCAAAAAGATAGAGAGCTAATTCTATGCATGTAAGATGATAATACATATACAAATTAGCTGTATCCTCCAAAGCCTGTGCCATCTTGAAACCTGCCCCCTCTGAGGAAAATTGTTTTAAAAGAAGAAATCCATTCCTCTTGCAAGTTTACTGTGGCTAAGCCTGTACACCAGTTTAGTTCATTGTTTTGTTGCTGTTGCTTGTGTGGTTTTGTTTTACACAAGGGGTAATTTTCTTTGCCTAGAGATAATCCTGTCAACAAGGACTGGAACAGAAGAGTTAGATGCTGTGGATGTACTGCTGCTACATTGAAGAATTTTTCTGCCCTGAGCGATGACAGGTGTAGGGAAGAGTGATAGAGCCTGGGGACCTGAGGGAAGGAGGATACAGAATATGGATTGGGATAACTGATGGTGAAGACAGTGGATAGAAGGCTGGAGAATGGGCCAGAGGGCTCAGCCAGGTGCATCAGCAGCCTCTGCTCTGCCTTCCTGGTGTTCTGCCCTGACCTCATTTATTGGCATCGTAATAGCAGATCCTGGTCCTGTTTTTCCTCCCACCCCATGTAGGTCACCCCATGATCATCTTGAGACTTGTGTTGCTAGGGCTCCAACTTGGTTGCGGTTGCCCAGCCTGCCTGGATCTGCTGCTACCAATCTGGCACTAATCTCCCTGGATGGTTGCGCCGTGTCTTGGATGGTTTCTTCTCCTCATGGTTTCTTCCTTTTCTTTTTTACCCAGATGAGCAACAAAAGGTCAAATAGTTTCCGCCAAGCCATCCTGCAGGGGAACAGGCGGCTGTGCAGCAAGGCGCTGCTGGAGGAAACGGGGCTGAGCCTTTCGCAGAGGCTGATCCGGCACGTTGCATACGAGACCCTGCCTCGAGAGATAGACCGCAAGTGGTACTACGACAGCTATACCTGCTGCCCTCCTCCCTGGTTCATGATTACCATCACTATTGTAGAGGCAAGTACCTTAATTTCCCTTCTCTGGGAGCCCACCCCACACTGCCAAAGGCTTTGCTGGAACGTGATCAAGGGCTAGTGGAACTCGTTTAAACTTAGACAAGGACAAGCATGAAGCTGATAGCCATTTTGGCTTATCTGTATATGTCTGTGTAAGTGGAGACTGTGATCCTGTCTGTCTCCAGGTGTGGTTATTAGTCATTGAAACAATTTGTATATGAAACTACAGAATTTGGGAAACTATAGCAAAACTTTCTGGGGAGTTAAAATCTGGGTAGTTCTAGGGAAACTGGTAGTTCAAATAATGGAATTGGATGAAAAATGCCTATACGTTACCTCTGTTTTGTGAATGAAATGAAAAAGGAGGCAAGAGAAACTGAATTAAATATTCTGACCTGCTCATCTGTTGTCCAAATGAGATCTTTGCACAGTTGCTGAGTAATGTGCTGGAATAAGCACATATACTTTGGCACTGATCAATATGGTACTGAGTTCCTCTGACTCAGTGGCTGGTGTGTTACAGAAACTACACACAGAGTTATACCGATGTGTTGCAGGTCTCTTGAAACAGGGAACTTTCATGCTGTGTGAAGGTGTCAAATGGGAGAAGAATTATTGTGTATTTGACTTTTTCTTCATGATTTTGAGCTACAAAGTGCTTTTCAGTGAGAGTAAGCATTTGCTAACCAAGGAATCTTCCTGCTCTTCTAGGTTGCCTTTTTTCTTTACAATGGAGTGGTATTAGACAGATTTGTGCTGCAAGTCACACATCCCTTATACCTGAAGAACGCATTACTTTACCATCCTCAGCTCCGTGCTCAGGCTTGGAGGTACCTAACCTACATATTCATGCATGCAGGGTGAGTACTTACAAACTGCAGAGATTCTCCACAGTTCAGGTTCCCCAGAGAGAGGGAGGAAGAAGAAGCGAGAGAATCAGCTCAGAAATTAATTTAAAAAAATCAATTATAAATTGCTTATAAAAATCTGAAGCTGTTGTAGAGTGTTGGGCAATGAGGGGCAAACCCTTGCAATTCTCTGAAGGCAACATAAGGAACTTAATAGATGCTGTTGTTCTCCCCAGCAGTGCTGGGACCACACCTTTCTCTTACTGTGCACTTGCCTGTGTGTGCTTCCTAAAACTCACCAGGTGGAAGCCCAGTGACCCTCTAAAGGAGCTGTGCATGTGGTAGAACAGGTCTGCAAAGATGCTGGACTGGTATTTAAAAACTGCATAGTATGTTCTTGCTAAACTTCCTAGTTGAGGTTGGAAAAGTCAATTAATTCCATGTGCCTATGGTATGTCATCACTTAGTATGTTGTCCCTTCTGTAGGGACTGAGATAAGGCCTAGAAGCTCGAGTCAAGATTGAACTCCCATTTTGTACGCACTGTGCAAACACCAGTGTTCCTGAAGAGTTGACAATCTCGACTGACCAGATGGACAGAGAAAGGTCCATCTAACACAAAATGCAAAATGAAGGTGCACAGTAAAACGAATCCTCCTTCATCCTATGGGAGGTGTGTAGCAGACTTGGGAAGAGAATACAAAGTGTGGAGATTCTGACTCTCTGCTTCTCGGCTGTGCTAGTCTTCCTAAGACTCAGAGAGACTCAATTATGTACTGTTTGTGATGCCATGGTGATGAGTGAGTGTCACAGTAAAGTTCATCCCTGTACAGAACACTCTACCCCCTCTGAGTAGTTTCTCAGATCATTATCTTCACACATTCCTGGCAGATAATTGCAATTTTCTTTAATTCTGTCATTGAAAAATCACAGCAACAAGCTTTTTAGCAGTAGTTTATAGTTTGAAACTGGATAAAGACCCTTTGTTCTTAAATAGAAAGCCTATATTCCCATCACTCGATGTTCTCCTATGAAAGGCCAGAAAGATCAAGCCGATCTTTTTCTTTTTCCATGTCTCTGATAGAAGACTTGCTGATGTCTCCTCTCTTGCATGGAATAACTGCCTTTGTGTGTCTTTGCCCTTGAGCACAAGATATGCCCCAGATCTCTGGATAAAATTCATAGAACAGAACAGATTCCACCCAAGGGAAGAGTAGGAAAAAAATTATGGATGAAACTTCTGAACGTGGCAACATCTGTACTTTGTGTGCTAAATCCCTCCAAAAAGTCCATTGCACGCAGGTTTCAATCTGCAAGTGGAGACTATTGGGCTTAGATGTGAGGCTGGTTATGTAAAATGAGAATTGGAAATTTCCATCACTGAGGATGTGGGGAAAACTGGGCTTGTGAAAGGAAGAACCACCTGATTTTAACTAATGTTAGCTAATTTGTATCTGAGTTTTCTTCTGGTGGTGATGGTGTTCTGTGTCACTTACATAACCACGGATTGCTTTGGGATACATTTGAAGAGAAGCATTTTCTGGTGGTGATGGTGTTCTGTATCACTTACATAACCACAGATTGCTTTGGGATACATTTGAAGAGAAGCACCTGCACAAGGACAATTTTTGCAGCATTTAAATGTCTTCCTGTATCACCTGTGGCATGCTTTCCTAACCTCTGCAAGGTCACCCTTTCCTGTAGCAGGCAGTACTCTGGCATTCTTCACATTTACTGGCCAAAAAAATATCTCAGGTTTATTTCATGTCTGTGGCTGGCTCAGAGTTTAAGAGTGGGGAAGGTGGTGTGCAGGAGACTCATTGGTTTTGTGTTGGATTCCAAGTTCTTTAGTTTTGTAGCCTTCAAAACAATGCCGAGTCCCGCTGGAACAATAAACCCCATGATTTATCTGCAGTATCTGGAGTTAGGCTGAATGTTCATTTATTGCTAACTTCTGTGTGTTAAGCTCCTTTCATATCAGGAAAACAGATAAATCTTGGAAAGGTAATAACATTTGTTAGTGGTAGGCCATCATTCTCCCTCGTTTTCAAATGAGAAACTAACACAATGCCATGGGGTCTATTGTTATCCTGCTTCCAGCTGAGACTTTAAAATGGTAATGTGGACTTTTCCTTAATTTAGTGCACTCAGTCTGGCTTTTTTTGAAGAGCAAGTGACAGCCGGAAGGTGTCCGAGAGGACAGCAGTTGCTAAGGCTTGGCTGGCTGTGCCTCTAGAAAGATTCCAAAAATGCACGGGCTGTGTGTTGGTCAACACAGGGAGGGAGCTTTGTCAAGGGCTGAAAAGGCAGGCAAAGTTGTAAATTCTGCCCTTCTGCTTTCATGGAAAGCAGACGTTGATTATGTGGGGCCCACGCATTTGTAACACTGCCATAACTAATGACTTGCATTGATGCACAGTCCCATTTGTTTGGTCCCGGGGAAGGAGAAAGTCTTTAATAAATCAATGAAATTGTCATTTCAAGAATGACGCATTCAGCACTGGCAAAGGCTAATTATATTTTATGGGTGCTTATTGACTGTGGAGCCTTCAAAGCTCTTAGCATGATGGGGAGAAGTGAATGGGATTGCTCCTGGAAAGTCTTTTAAGAACAGCTGTGAATCAGAGCAGTCACTTTAGAGTCTAGGATAAACTTTGCCGAGCTCTTACAAAAGCTTCCTTTGAAAAATAAGACCCAGTGCTTTGTGTGCAAATGTCAGGTGCTTCCTCGTGACGTTGACTCTGTGCCAGCCAAAGCTTCTTCCCTTCTCTCTGTAAAAAGGGCATTTGGATGCTTTGGCTCTTTTCTGTGATCTTAGTTTTACCTTTGCTGGTTGTTCCTAATTTAGTTCCTAAGTTCTGTGAACATGCAGGATCAGAACGGGTGCCAGAATGTACCCATGCCCAGTGGCTTCAAAAGTCTTGAGCAAGGTAATAAAAACACTCAGTTACATGCAGCAGTTTCCCCTGATGACAAATTGCAGTGCTGAGTGTCTTATGTAGGAGAGAAACTTATCCTTGGAGAGAAATTCAGTGGGAAACAAACCTATTAAGATATCCAGAAAGGACTGTTTCCTGCAGTATCATTTCTCGCAGTTTTTTCCGGTCCAGCTTTAAATTCTCATTTATGAGACTGTTCTGTCATTACTGCATCTCACCATCATTGTTTTTCTCTGATGTATATGGGAAATTGCTATGGTAACATGAAGAAAGACCAAAACATTGAAAATGCATGTAACTTAAACCAAAGATTGCTAGTAGCTGTCTGGCGAGCAATCCTTTTATTGTATAAAATAGGATGCAGATTTTCTGTGCAATAGCTATTTTGTGCCCTTTCCCCAAAAAGGTACTAGCCTTCTGTGTCAAGGGTACTGCTGTGTCATTTAGGTACACCTTCTTTATAAGAAGGCTCAGTCACTCTTCATATAGAAAGTGTGATTCTCCTGGGTCTGGTGTGAGGAGGCCATTCAGCCAGGTGACATTCCTGTGAGCCCAGGGTAAATCTCAGACAGTAGCACAGTGTTGAGAGGGACCCTGTTCAGGGGCCTGGTGCTGTTATCACATCACTGGAAGATCCTGCATATGGCATAGGCATGGGTAAATATTTGTATAGAGCTTTGAAAAGTAGCAAGACAGTTTTGTTAAGTGCCATTGATTAGAACAGCAAAGAACTTGCTTTGAAACTATTGATTCAGCATAGGAGAAAACTGGTGCACTGGAGTCTTTACCAAATAGGCACATCTTAGCTGTCACAGTCTCTGCCTCTAGGCTGCAAGTGGTCCTCCACATCCTGGTGTGCACAGCAGAGTTTTCTACAAGACTAGTATCAGCCTGGCTTTTCCCGTTGTGTTCAGCATGAGTTTTGCTATTGACTGTAATGAAAACAAGAGTAGGTGAAGAGAGAGCTTCAGTGAACGCACCTTGAGTCTCACTGGGCAACTAATCAGAGATATAATGCCGTCTGCTTCCCATTCTGACCGTGCTCACATTGAAACAGGAACAACAGGAAAAGGTGAGGGTCCAATAGCACAAAGAGTAAAGCAGCGTGATGTGTCAGAAGGAGACAGCAACTGTCTGGGGACTGCGACAGGCACACCTTGCTCTTGACCTAATACCCACTCCCCATCACGGCAGTGTAATACCATGCAGGGAAAGGCTGTATCTTTAGGAGAGGAGAAGGGAGGAGCAGGTCAAGTTTGTGGCTTCTGTTCCAGGCTCTACTGCCATCTTGCTGCTTTTTTGGACAAGTCATTTAATGTCTTCGAACTACTTTATTTAAAAAAAAAAAAAAAAAAGAAACTTGCTCTTGACCTAATACCCACTCCCCATCACGGCAGTGTAATACCATGCAGGGAAAGGCTGTATCTTTAGGAGAGGAGAAGGGAGGAGCAGGTCAAGTTTGTGGCTTCTGTTCCAGGCTCTACTGCCATCTTGCTGCTTTTTTGGACAAGTCATTTAATGTCTTCGAACTACTTTATTTAAAAAAAAAAAAAAAAAGTAAGTCTCACTAAGAACTACATATGCTATGAGGTCTTTGGCTGAAAGGACCTGGGTGGATTTGAAAAAGATAATGAGTGGCAAGGAGGGAAGAAACATCTTGGTCTGATTTTTATTTTTTTTTCAGGAACCATTGTTTTTCCCAGTGTTACAATCTACTTTCATGAAGCAGGTGCTATTTGATTTCCTTTCCAAGATATCTCTGTGTCGAGGGTAAAAAATGGAGGCAAAGACTTAGAAAAGAGGACAACTGTTGTTTTTCCTTGCCGCAGGATAGAACACCTTGGACTCAATGTTGTCCTTCAGCTCTTGGTTGGGGTTCCCCTGGAAATGGTGCATGGAGCTGCGAGGATCAGTTTTGTGTACGTTGCTGGAGTTGTGGCAGGTAGGTGACACTTCTGGACGCCCCAGATAGAGAAGCATCTGCAAAATGTTTGTGCTGACTTTTGTGTAGGAGAAATGTTTTGTGATGTTTGGGTGTAGGACAAGAGCAGTCACTGATCTTCTGTGCATTGAAATTCTTTTGGAGGCTAGAAATGGGAACTATGCTACATGTGTTTCTAACTAGCCATAGGCTCTGTGTTTACAGACCTGCTAAAAAAGCTCCAACAACCTGTTACTTTAAAAGGGCCATGCTTTAGATGGTCTTCCTGTGGAGGTCATGCTGTTCCTTTCCTCTTGCGTCCCACAAAGGCCTAGAAGAGAGGAGGCATCACAGGCATCCCTGCATGAGGAGACCTTTTTCTCTTTTTGCCCCCCCAGGTCCTGTGCTGTCTCCTTTCTACAGCCTGAGTAAGCAAGAAGTATTTGGTTGTAGGTTGTGAGCAGTGCACAGGAATCTGGAAATTCATTTAATCATGAAGCCATGGGGTTTGATTGATTTTTTTAGTTTGTGCTGTATTCCTTTTATTTATGTTTGGCATTTCCAGCAGTTTGGAGGTGATGGAAGTTAGCTGACAATAGATCAACATCTAATTAAAGCAGGAGGAGAGTGTAAGAACACACAGTGGAACTCAGATAATGATTGACTGCCTTAGTTCAAGATTTATGGTGATTTTTTTTTCCAGCTACATCATTTTATTTTTTTCCATAATGAGCAGATAAAACCTTTATAAAATGGTCTGCATTGTGTACTAATAAATTTTACATTCCAGTAGAAGGACTGTGGAAAGAATAATTGGCCTAGGACACAAGACTAGGTGTGGTACAAACCCCATGCTATTTAATGCAGGGAAAGGAGTTAGCACACAAGGTCTGCCATCCCTTGCCTGTTATTTTAATAAGCCCTAAAGTGGTCGCTAATCTGGAACTTTCCAGACATAAGCTTTTCTACATAGATCCATGTACCAAACCATGATGCTTCATTTGTATATGTGTAAACACGCATCACACGTCTGTGCCAGAGAATTGAAGCAAGTGGGCATTGAATCTGCTGTGGTGAGCACTGCGAGTCACCGGCTGCCCCTCAGACTCCCGTGGCCATGGACTTGCTGACAGGGTCCTTGGGGCCAGAGGCAGATTTAACTTGGGCATTGGGCTGGGCTGAATGCCCAGAGCTCTAGAGGCTTGTAGCCAGTGCTTGAGGGAGGCTCACTAGCCCACCTAGCATTAGGTACTCATTTCTACTGCACAAATGATCCCATTTATTTTCTCAGAGAAGCTGCCATATCCTCACAGACTTGCCTTTCATGCCTTATGACCTATAAATTCTGTAAGAAAGTGCCAAATGGAAAGGGAAAACTTCCTTTCTTAGTGTAGGGTGAAACTACAAATGTGACTGGACAGTCCCACACAGAAGAACATCCCGTGATACCCTTACCTGTTTGAGTTATTAAACATGTTTTATTGTTTGACATGTGCCAGGAGAAAGAGGAAGAGGCAAAGTTATGCTGAGGATCTGGCAATATGAAGGTAACACAGCTCCTAAACAATCAGGAATAAACAGTAAAATGTAGACATGGGCCACAATGGCCACTCTCTACTTTTTTTTTTTTTCTTTTTTTTCTCATTTGCCTGGCTTTACTAAGAAGACGTGTTGAGGCTGAGATTGAGAGGCTGAAGGTATATGCTCAGTGCAGTGTCCAAGGACTTAACTGCAAGTTCTCATTACTCCTGTCTTAATTTCTCATTAGCTTTTTCCTTAATGGCAGTGTTTAAGAGCTGTGAAGTCTCAGGACCATACAGTGAAGGAGGGAGCTATCAGCAGAGTTGGCTGGTGGAACCTCAGCACTTTCTTGACCCAGAATCAGCCGAGTAATTAGCCAAGAAGTTTGTTAGATTCTGTACTACCAAGGACTCTCTCAAGATTTGCCATTGTGTCATTTTCCCATTCCCACTTATCAGAAAGATCTTCGTTATCGCTGCCTTGTGACACCAAGTCTGCCTTTGTCTCTCTGTCTCTTAAAGTTTATAATTAAAGGAGCTTTGAGCAGATGTAAGCTTCCAATTGGGATAAGGAGAAGCAGTATCTATGTTTGAATGTATTGTTATTAGTGGTACCTTTATATGATTGACCTGTCATTTTGATATCTTCTGTTTGCTGCCTTCATCCACGTTATTTTTAGCGAATTTTACTCTGAAGTGTTATACGTAACAGGCTGTGCTTTGATCGGAGGCCTGTGCTAAGTTACAAGTCCCCGGTTCCTTCTCACTGTGCAAATATTTGTCTTGCCAGCATGGGAGCTACTTCTATTTTATCTTCAGTTGAGAAGCAACACACAGATATTTTTCTGTCTCCTGCTTCCTTGTTGTTTTAATCAGGGTGTATGTGCCTTTTTGCAGCATAGATTTGAAGATCCGTTGCTGCCCGGCTTAGCTGCTTTTAAAGCAGGTGCAAAAGAATCAATCAGTCCCTGTCTTGGCATTACTACAGAACTGAGTGAGCTTCACAAGTCAGTCAATCCCCTCCCCCCCTTATCTGTATATTATTGACCTGCAGCAATTAGCACAAAACGGGCGGTAGCAGGGATTTAGGGGAGGAGAGAGTGTGTTTATTTGGCTGGCAATTGTCACAAACCCTTGTTCTTTCTCCCCCAGGGTCCCTGGCAGTGTCAGTAGCTGATATGACTGCGCCTGTGGTGGGCTCCTCTGGAGGTGTGTACGCTCTTGTCTCAGCTCACTTGGCCAATATAGTCATGGTAAGTACCAGAACAACTGTCTAACCTCTTCGGAAGTCAGCTGGGTCTGGTGGCCCAAAGGGATTGGAAGTAGGGCTTGACCCAGCTGTCATTCAGAGCTTGCCCCAGTTAGAGTCTTGTCTCAGTGGAATGGAAATGTTAAACTGCAGTTGGTGGCTTGGTACCCTGGTGGCTGGCAAGGAGGGAGCTTGCCAGGAGAAGCCAAAGATGCTGGTAATCCAAGATTTATCAGTGTACTCCAGGTGACCAGCTCACCTTGCAAGGGCTGACACGTGTTTGGAAAAGAAGAAGTTGCCTGGCTCTACAGAAGTTGCAGACTTGTTTCTGTCTCCACGTGCCATGAAATGTTATTGGATACCTAAGGAAATTTTGTGTTTGGATTTGTGTGCAGGATATCCCTTATCTCCATTTGTAAAACCCAGACTGAAGCTGAACCCTGGGTGTACTAGTGATGCATCTTTTTGCTGTTTCACCTAATGACTTTACAACAGTCAGTAAACACCAGCAGCATCATTTGTCTAAGACCTGGAAAGAGGAGCTCATCCCAGGTCCTCAGCTAGGTGGTGGCAAAGCCCAACCTATCTGCCTCTGTGACCCCTAAGCTGACCGCTGGGCAAAAATGGCTTTGCTGAGAGAGCTGGTTTTGCTGTGATTAGGATTTGTGTGTGGTGGTACAGAGCTGCATGTCTGTCCTGCACCAGCAATCTCAGAGCAGAATAACCATAAAAAATTATGTAATGCATCCTCCCCTGGGGTCTGAGTGGGAAGAAAATGTGAGTTGGCTGCAGTAGAAACAGAAGGTTTGTTATATGGGTGCTGGAAAACATGTGCGTGTGTGGTGGCACTTGTGTCAAGGCTAAAAGAAAGCCTTGTGTTTAATGCTCGTAAGCAGTGAACTCAGCAGGTTCGGGCTGGAAGCCACAGCGGCGCTGCTCCAGGCAGCCTTTGTAGCAGCTGGGAGCAGGAAAGTGAGTGGCTTTTCTGAGCAGAATAGGTCTTCTTTGCTGTCTTCCAGCTTTTTTGGAGCATGAATGAACTGGGGGCTGTTGTCCAAATTAGGACAGTTGAGTGGCTGGCAGAGAGGCAGGGAGTGGAGGAGAGGGGCTGCCCCTGTACCACAGGGTTTCTACTGGGGAAATGCCTCCTTATATATAGTTATTTTCCGTATGATTTGTGTTCCCTGCCACTGGGCCAACAGAAGCAGGAGGGAGTTTCCCCTGTCTCACAGGGTGGTAATGGAGACACAGGGTTTCTTCACACAGAGATTCAGAGGAGGAGATTGGAGGAAATTTTTGTTTGCTTTAGAGGAAGAGGCTCTGCCAGAGGCATGTGGAGAGTCTTCACCGGATACTTTCCCAGACTTCTTAAGACATTGCTAAGTAGTTTGTCATTTCACTACTCGTTGGCATCCTCCAAATCTATTTAGCAATTGCTACCTTAGCATCTATGTTTCTCCATTATCTGCTGCCTCTTTTCTCATCTAAAATTACTTGTACTCCCTTTCCCATTCTGGTGAAGAGGTTTTTTTTTTTGCTTTTCCTTCCCCCTCTTGTCTCTCTGCTCACTTAGTGTCTAGGTGTCACACTGGCCATTTGCTGATTCTCACACAGGTGCTTTGAGCATGCTGGGAAGAGGAGGGACTGTTGCAGGGAGCATCTCTTGAATCGTCTGTTCCCTTGTGCCTCCTGGTAACCAAAGAAAATGAAAACATTCCTGCTTGTAAAAATAAATATTCTTGGAATTAAATAAATAAAATAACCAACAGGGGGAAACAATAAAGCATGTCGCCCTAAGGAAAAGAGCGAGGAGAGGAATTCAAAACAGCTGCATGGAAATGAAAACTCAAGGAAGCAGCACAGTATTAATCAGCATGAGTTCAGTGCCTTCAGACTGTGTTAGGTGTCTCTGTGGAGGGAGAAAATGAGTTACTTATTTTGTAGAGATTGCATTTTTGCAGTCACAGAAGTGATTTACAGACAGATCTCAAATTAAACTTGAATATATGTAATATGTATTGCAGAATATGTCTTCAGCAGGCTGAAAAGTCACTGGGTGCCATTAAAGTTAGGCTGAAGAGTTTACAAGCATTTTTTTTATTCCTTCAGTGTGATGGACAGGGACTTTGGCACAAGAAGCCTGGCTAGCTTGGTATCTCATACTGGTATCTCAACAGGCAAAATCTCATTTAGTGACTGAACAATAATAATAGTGTTGTCATACATCTGAGTTCCCCAGAACATTAACTCTTTTTCTGCTTGGAAATTTTGTGCAAAAAAAAAAAAAGAGGAGGAATTTAAACATTTCTCCCAGGATTTCTGACTGAAAGAAAGAATAAGAATTTTCAGGTTCTTATTCCGCTCTACTGATGAATGACCAAGCCTGAAGACAGAGGAGAACAAATCCAGGCTATCTTATGGCACTGTTTCCTTGGTATCCTTTTATTGAGGTCTTTATTACTTTGTGTGCTCTGAGAGGCAGAATTTCAGGGAGCAGGAGGTACAGGCAGTAGCACTGGAAAAGCACAGTAGGACTCAGACTGAGAAATTGTCTGACAGGGGACAGTGTTGGGCCTCCAAGCGCATCATGATCAGCTGTATCATGATGTTAATGATGCTGATGTTAACCAGAATGATGCTTGTGTTGAATGGTAGGTACTATTTAAAATAATTTTATTTGATGTGGCCTAATACAATAGGGTTTTGCAGGGCAGGTAAATTAAAATATACCCAGAAGTCAGCATTTAAGGTGAAGCATCATACTAACGTGTTAAAAATTTGAAGAATAGAGAATGGGAAGGCCAGCCAAGGACCATGCCGTACCAGCTGGATCTCAGGCAAGGAGAGTCAGTGGCACTGCCAGGCAAAGAAGTTATGGACTGTCCATAACTTGGATGTGTCAGCAATATATCCTTAATGATTATGCCCTCTGGGATTGACAGAACAGTGTTTGGCAGATGGCAAAGCCAATGGATTTGTTTCAAAAGGGTTTGTTTCAAGGGATGGTCGTAACTGGTGCTCTTCCAGTGTAGATCTGAATGTAAAATCCCTCCAAGTTTGCGTGTGGCATCACTTTGTTTTCCTTGTCTCTTTTCCAGAACTGGTCAGGAATGAAGTGCCAATTCAAATTGCTGCGCATGGCAGTTGCCTTGATCTGTAGTAAGTACCTTGCAATACCTGGCACACACACAATCCTCTTCTGTTTGTCCTTGTCATAAGCGTTCATGCTGATTCAGAGAGTTTTGACTTTGCAGCAGTTTTGGTAGGAACTTGCAGCTGGACCTTCTGGCAGCAGAAACCACATCACTCTCAAATGCAGATTTTTGGATTTCAACACAAGCATTTGTAAATGAGGATTTGTTGTTAGCCAGCATCTGTCGCTTGTGGCATTTGTGAAGATCTGGGACTTAAATGTCTCATCTTTGAATTCGCAACCAAGCAATGCTGTCGTAATGGTAATAGTTAGGTTTCCTAGAGCACTTCCTATCTTGGATGACAACAGCATTATTGCACACGTTAATGAATTATCTTCCAGCCATATCCCTAGGGTGGCACAATAAGGGAAACTAGGCCATGTATTCATCACGGACAATTGTCTTCAAAGTCTAACTCATTTTTCTTTATGGTTCTTATACATGTTTTGAAACGGGAATATTCCCTGACCTGTCTACATTCCCACAAACCCAGACCACTTACCAGCCACTGAAGAGCTACCCATCGATCATGTAACCACGGCCTCCCAGCTTCCCTATGCTCACCATGCAAGGCAGTTTCTCCCTCTCTTTTCTTCAGGGATGCAGCACTGCCTGCAAGAGGGACTTGAGAAGGGACAGACCTACACAATTAATTTATTTTTCTTTCTTTGTTCTAGTGAGCTTTGAGTTTGGAAGAGCCGTGTGGCTGCGATTCCACCCTTCTGCTTACCCACCGTGCCCACACCCCAGCTTCATGGCTCACCTGGGAGGAGTAATGGTTGGAATCACTCTTGGTGTCATCATCCTGAGGAACTATGAGCAGAGACTCCAAGACCAGACTTTATGGTGGATTTTCCTTTCTATTTATGTCATTTTTGTCTTGTTTGCCATCTTCTGGAACATTTTTGCCTACAGCCTGTTGGATCTAAAGCTACCTCCCCCTCCCTGAAAACATGGGACAGAAAACTTGAGAGCGGAAGTCATCTGCCAGCTATGTTAAATGAATGAAGATGGAGGATCTATTTTTATATTTAACTTAGGGGAGGATGGTTCTTTGAATGCAAGTGTGTGCTGGAGGAGATGCTTAAAGATCTCACGAAGGAATGGGCTGCTCAGTTTGTTCACAACTCCAGCAGGTACTGTAATACTGGCTGGCCTGGACCCTGCAGTTTCTCCACTGCCAGGGCTCCTGTTGGGCAGCTTGTACCTGGGCACTTATCACTTGGTTTGTTGTTAGCACACATCAATATTTCGTATGAGATATTTGTATTTTCCAGGTCAGTGCTGGAATGATGGCCAGTTGTTGAATGAATCTCTTCAATGTTGCTGAATGCTAAAAGGGAAAAAGAGTAGACATTTACTAATTAGAGACTCACATGGTACTCACAAGGCAGCTTGGGTTTGGTTTCTACGGACACATCTGACTGTTCAACCATACCAGTGCCACTGTCTAATTACTTGAATGGTTCCTATGATATTTTACCCTACGGTGGCACCTGTCTTGCACACCTTTCAAAGGAATCAGCAGAACTTGATCACCCAAAGTGATGGAGACTGGTCTTCAACTACAGGTCAAATGAAATTGCACTATAAACCTTGGGAACTCTTAGAGTGTTGTGGACACCCAGCCAGAGGTGACTTTTACTGTGCATGTTTCACTTGATTTTAATTATTTTTTCCCTCCAGCCAGCTGTGGCTAGAGGGTGTGACTGGAGTTTCTTTTTTTGAGGGATGGAAGAAAGGAGGGCAAATGTTCAATTGTGTTTTTATCATCTGACAATCAGGTGCTGTTTTCTTCTCACTATTTCTGGCCACATTGATCTATGATCTAACATATGGCCTGCAGCGAGCTCCTAGCAAGGTTCTCCACTCTTCCAGCAGGCTCTTACTAGAAAAGTGGGACCAGGATCATTTATAGCAGCGCAGAGTGGGAACTATCTAATCTTTACAGCCATACAGTCCATTTGGGGCCAAATCTGTCCACTGAAGTCAGTGGAGTTAAATCAGGTTGTATGTAGCACTTGTTTCCCACTGAAGTGGAAAGAGTGTTACAGCGATCATTGTGAAACTGATAAAACTGGCTTTAAAGTGACTGCTATGTTTTGAGGATGCCCCTTCCTGAGGCAATGGATATTCAGGGGCTCCAAGCAACAGTTAGTTGCAATGATGCCTTTTTCTTTAACATTGGTCAACCATACAGCTGCCTACATGGACCTGGGGACCAGACAGGAACAATTGTAGCACAAGCAGTGCTTATAGATACACTTCTATGTAAGGTGCTTATGTTATTTTGCTTCTCACTTTAGAGAGCTGCCAAACTATAGTCCAGGAGTGAGGATGCCCTCCTTTTCTCTCCCCTTTACCCACCTAGTATGATGACCTGGATAAAGCAGCCATAGGGGTCTCTCTTAGACAAGCTCCATTCTTCCTTTTTTCTGTTTGCATACTGGTGCCCAGGCACCAGGCACCAGAGCCTTCCACAGCACATCTCATGGGCATTGTTGCAGTTGTCTGTAGCAAAATGTCTCTCTGGGCTTTCTTCTCTCAGCGGTGTAGTCAGTGCTGCCAGATGACACCACAAACTGGTAGGAGTCTGTCTTTCTGGAGTGGACATTCACAAGTGCTTATCAGCTGCTCCCTTCTTTGCCTCTTATGGGAAAAATCTCTCTGGAAGGGTGAAGTTCTGCTCCCACAGTATGCACCAGTAAAGCTCCTGTTGCCTCAGAGAAGGGGAGAAAGGAGAAAATAAGTGTTTCTACTGCCTGGAATAAGCCTTACCTGCAAAAGAAACATTTTTTTGGCCACCGTTGTGCACAGGAATGGAATTTCTGAGGGCAATTGCGCCTTTGTTGTTGTGCATGACAAGTACATTGCTCCTATACTTGTCAGAGCAAGGAATAAGAGGATGGGATAAAGGTCAGAGCTCTGTTCATTTTGGAGAAGGGGATTGGTTCCCTATGCCATTTTATCTCTGCTGTTTGGGTCCAGATCAAAGGAGTCATGAGGGTTTACATTCATTGTTTCAGGTGCTGGCCCAGTGAGTTCTGTAGCAGTGGAGATTGTCTCCTAGGGGAGCAGCAGAAGGAGAACATTGACAGAAGCGTGGTTAACATGTAAGGAGGACATTCCTTTCCTCATCTGTTGCTAAGCCTTTCTGATTACAGATGCCTTTAAACCAGAGGTGAGCAGAAATGAGAGTTCCCCTGGAAGTTTTAGGAAAAGTTTGAAAATTTTGATAGAAAATTTCAATCACAACGAAACCCAGATTATTTTGCCTATAATTTACCAGAGTACAGGATGTACTGATTGACTTTTGGTTTTGGTTTCTCAACTGAAAGCTACTTAATGGACATCAGTTTCTCCCCAGGAAAGGTTTCTGTGCCTGCCACTGATGTGCTCTGGGGTGAAGCAGCAAGCTAAAAGTTTGAGGGCCACCACTTTCTTTATCAACTTGACCCTCGCCAACGCATCTTTGCCTCTGCTCAGGAGTAGGAGGGAGCTGGACAGATTAATCCAGGCACCATTCTTTGATCCTTTATCCACAGGTGAACATAGTTCACACTAACTGGTTGAAAACAGCTCTGAGGTTGAGGTTATGACTTGTTCTTTTTCTTTCTGAGTTCCATTCTGTGTCCCCGTACCCTGTCTGAGCAAGTCTACAAGCAACCCTGGAGATCAGAAAGGCCACACTTAAACCAGTATTTGATTTATTATGAGTGAAGAAATTAAACCCTCTCATATTCCTGCTCATCAGAGCTGAAATCGCTCCCCATACACAGAGTAGGTTGTACACAGAGCCTGTTGTCTGAGAAGAATCTATCAGCTCATGGAGTCGGGAGCAGTGCAAAGTGCTCCAAGCTTTTATAATTTATTTTTTTTATCACTAAAATCATACTGTGAAAACTTATGTTTTTACAGAGTATCAGGAAACCCAGCTACTTTGTTTTGTAATGCACCCACGAATGCCACAGTGCTGCAGCACCAGAGAGCTAATAGCAAACAGGCTTTTCTTTTACCTCCAGATGTCCTTGAAGCTGCTGGCTTATGTGGGAGATGAAATATTCTCCATCCTGCTCATTTGTGGTTCCAGCTTGTCACAGTCAGCAGTGTGTTCCTGAAGGAGCCTTCACTGAGGGACTGGTTTTGGTGATTGTTTTGATATTGTTTCAGCTGCTGCCAGGATTTTACATCAGTCAGATAAAATGTGACTCTACTGAACCTTACAGCCGTGCAGTGCTAGGGCAAAAGGCAAGGACTGTTACCAATGTACAGATTTGAACCATGCACATTAGAGGAAGTTATTTTTTGCTTGCGTCCTTGAGAGAGGACACAACACCTGCAAAAAAAAAGAAGCTGCTTCTGTGCTGGACTTCCCATTTAGTAAGTATATTGCAGCAGTGGTCCAGTGAGGATGGGTGCAGGGAGCAGTAGAGCTGGGAGAGCCTGGGGTGCTGGCTGTAGAGCTCCTTCAGGGACATCTGCTGGCAGCACGGTGACAGCACCAACAAGGGCTGGCTCTGAGCCTCATGCTGATCCCTCAGCCAAGAGAAGTGGCTCAGACAGCCCTGTGGAGGAAGGAGGAGGAGAAGCAGGTAGATCAAAGTCCACGGGGCTTGAAAAAATGCACCTTTTATTCCTAGATGCTTGGAGGCAGGTAGGGATTAATTTTGCACACATGGGTACTGATACAGGAATGAGGAGGGGGAAGGTTGTGATGGAATGATGGGAGAGAACAATCTGTGAGTGAGGTGTAGAAGAGTTGTAAAATGCTGATGAATTTACTTTTGCTGAGTTCTTAAGACATCTCATGTCACTTTTTCCCTATCAGTCAATGAGGAATCTTGGTACTTATGTGGCATATTGTGATTCTTCAGTACTTGTTCTTCAGTACCAGCAGAAGGAAGTATTTTATCAATGGGGAAGGGACAAATTATTGTTGTCTGATGTTGCTGGAGTAGAAATAAAGTTTAGGGATTCTGTGCCCCAAGACCTTGTTCCTTCTGATGGATTGTACTGCCCGTATGATCAGTAATCTAATTGATCTAAGATTAGATCCATTTGAACTGGGGTACGAAGGATGGAATCTGACACACTTGGAGCTGCTAAAATAACAGCTATCTGCTGACCTCACAAGACAGCTGCTGTTTTGTGCCAATATTTAGTCTCACAGGCTCGTGGGTAGGACTGTCACACATACTTCAGTGAGTAAAGAGCTCAAAGTCTATCCATTTACATAGATTCAAGCTCAGCTCAATTGCTTTGGAAACCCCATTTACTGGCTTTACCAAGAGGGGAGCTGGAGAATATGGGTGCAGTTCAACACCAGCAGCCTCTGGAGGCAAACTGGGATCTCAAGAATGAAGGCCAGGACCTCTGGGGTTTGAGCCTCTCTGAATGTTGCTGCTGTTCTGTTTCTTTTGTAGTAGCAGTTTTCTACAGCAGTCTGTGATATGACTCAAAAACTCCTGCAATCACTGGTGCTGAGAGCTGGTTATAAAGGAAAACAGTGCATTTTGCAGCCCTATAAAGAAAGAATCACGTGTTAGGACAGAAACCAAGCTTGTTTAAAGGTAAATGTATTTTTAATGTCATCATTAATAATTGGTTTTTAATTGGAAAAAGCTTTCTAATGAGGTATTTCTGAAATGCCAGTAGTAGTACAGAAAACTTACATTTCGGAGTACTTTCCAACACAGAGCACAAAACATTCCCTAGGCCTAATTTAAGTAGCAAAAATACCTTAATTTCCAGTAAGCTTAATAGGTAGGTTCGTCACTGGTTGTCTCCTGACACCCCCACAGTGTCTGTTTAGTTTGCAAATAAAGCTAGATTTGTGTAGCTTTTCTTTTGCTTACACTACTGATGCTAACACCACATCCAAGTGTTAAACACAAAGCACTAAACAACGTGATTTTCTGCCTTAAAATACTGAACAAATCATACTTTCCCGCTAAGGGCTAGTGAAACAAAATGATATTTGCAAGGTAAGATGCTATGGTATGTTTCCAAATATTTTTGTATTGTGTACATTCTGTATATTTTTGTTGTAATAATATTATTTGAGCGCAGAAACCATTAAATTTGTTTTGTTGGTGGGTTTTTTTGTTTTCTGGTTTTTGGTGAGTTTTTTTTTTTAGTAAATTTAACTGTTCTACATCACAACATGCCAAAAAAACAACCAAAAAAACCCATTTCAAAGACAGCTTTGTAAGTTTATCAACAGTTAAAGCAGTATTTAGCAAAAGAGAGTTGGTTTTGAGCTCTGTAATGTAGTCTTTTAATAATGACATTGATAACTCATTTTTATGTCTGTCTAAAAGATAAAGGCGAAAGTGAACTGCTGCTTTATTTCCCCATGAGGTATAACAAGGACATAGAACCGGCTTGGACTGCTGTTGGAATTCAGGTCTTGTCCCACCATTTGACAAGAGACCCTTTAGTGCAGTCGTGACCTCAGAACACCAGGTACTTTAGACTATTTAAAACTTTTTATTGGAGTGGAGGGTTGTTCTCTTTTAACGTCCCAGAGAGGTGGTGGAGTCTGTCTCTAGAGACATTCAAAACCCACCTGGACGTGTTCCTGTGCATCCTGCTCTTGGTGGACCTGCTTCGGCAGGGGGTTGGAGGAGACGATCTCCAGAGGTCCCTTCCAACCCCGTATCATTCTGTGATTCTGTGATCAGTCTCTACTGAATGTCTGAAAATCTCAGAGCCACCACTTTCTCATCTCTCGAATCAACAGCGGCAATGACATATCCAGGAAATTCTGCAGGAAACGTCCAACTGATTTAGTTATTTTGAGATAACTAAAGTAAAAATTCTTCCACCAGTGTGGAATGGGGTGGCTTATTTTGGGAAATATTTTGTGTTTTTGTTGGGAAGCATTGGGTTAAAGTGTAACTTAAAGAAATGAAGATGTAACTAGCAGCAGTTGCTGTCAGATTCGTTACTCCTAAGGGGAGGCAGATTACTGTACCCTGCGTGGGACTTGGCTCTTGCTGCTAGTTTTCTGCACTTAACTGAGCTTTCTGACACACTTCAACCTCTTTATTTATTAGTGGAGGACTTTCAGCAAGAAGGCAAGGTATGGTTTGCCAGTTAATACAAGAAGTGTTACTGTCTGCTGGCACCATACGTTTTCCTTGCTGGCTAAAATAATTTTAGAAAGGTAAAGTGAAGGACAGAAATATTGCCAATTCCAGCGTATCTGTCACAGGGAAGGAGCCAAAAGCTGGCAGCCTTGATCACTCAGACTCATAAAACTCATTATCATTTTATTCCCATGGCTCCGATCCTATTCTGTATAGTAAGCATTGCTCTTAAGTGTTGGAAGGAGAAATATTAATTGGTTTATATGCTACTTCTCTTGGGGGTAAAGAGGGGGGGGAAGCTCAAAAAACCAAACCACACCCTGATCTTTTAAACTGCAAGAGGTCTCCAGCAGTTAAATCTAAACTTGCATTCTTAACACAGGCCTGGGGGGGGGGGGGG